GGCAGCGGTGAGTACTGGTGTCCGTTGAACAACAGGTCACACACATGCACACACATGCACACACATACACACGCGTGCACGCACACACACACACACACACATACATACACACGCGCATACGCATACGCATACACACACAAACACACACACACACACACACACACCGACTCAGAGAACAGAGGGCTTACGTTTCTTCCTTCAAGGTCTGTATGGTATAGAGGTGTGACGGTTCTAGGGCCACTGTCTCCAGGAAGAGGGGTTGTGTCATGATGTTCTGGATCTGTGCTTCCAGGAACAAATCACCATCCTGGACATAACAATCAGTGTGAGTACACACGCACACACGCACACACACACACACACACACACACACACACACACACACACACACACACACACACACACGGATATATTACACACATGTGCGTGCACGGACACACACACACACAAGTACATGTGGCACACACACAAGTACATGTGGCACACACACAATTACATGTGGCACAGATACAAGCAAATGGACAGTAATTACGACACAGCAACAGTAGTGTAAGAGAGAGAGAGAGAGTCCTGTTGCATTGTTCCTTAGCTGCTACGTGAAGTCAGTCATGTACATGAGGGTGATAACCCCGTACATGTACCATTCTTGCAGGATTGTCAGCTTGTCACATCGGTGTGGTGAGATATACTGGGAACGTACCACTCCAACACAGTCCATTCTGCGACTAGCTGATACAGCAGGAGTCTGTAACGTACTGTTACTGTAGCACGACTACATGGTACAACGTACAACGTAACATGTACACTGGAGACATACCTCAACAGTATAGAACTTTGTCTTGACATCAAGTGGTTTCATAACCTGCACAGCAACAACAAGAGCGGACACAGGACACAACACTATCAGTAACTTACAAGTGGTGACAGTGGCATAATATGCCAGGCCCGACGGAACCGGTCTGGTTGGTCAGGTTATCACCGGGGGGTAACATTTTAGCCACCAGCACGTGTTTACTACTGTGGAGGGTGTGTGTACCAACCATATCATACACAAACAGTATGAAAGGCCATTATATGATACTACCGGACCAATCGAAAACAGCTTCCAGGGTCCTGCATGCCATACATGTACATGACATACGTGCCACACATGCACATGTCGTTCAGGTTTTCGTAAAGCCAGCATTACAGCATCGGCAGCACAGAACAACCCACATTATGGCAGCTAGCAATTTCCACAAACACAATCAAATCCATACGTGTATGAACAAAATAATGACTTAAAATCTTCAAACAATAATAATGATAATCACATGATCCACACCATACACTCCCAGATGGCAAAGAGTATGATGAAGAAAAGGGACTTGAGACAGGATAACAGAAAAACAGAGAAAGAGAGAGAGAGAGAGAGAGAGAGAGAGAGAGAGAGAGAGAGAGAGAGAGAGAGAGAGAGAGAGAGAGAGAGAGAGAGAGAGAGAGAGAGAGAGAGAGAGAGAGAGAGAGAGAGAGAGAGAGAGAGAGAGAGTATTTTAGAGCCATACAAACAGGCAAGTCCCACAACAGGCTTTTTTGGAATTTCACGCGGAGAGAGAAAATGTTCACTGGTTTGAGGGAAAGACGCAAAGAGAAAATAGCGCACTACGGACTCACCTGAAATTTGAAGAACTTCCTAAAGTGTAGCTTCTCACCCTGATACTGGTAACTAACTGTGCAGACCAAACTAGAACAAGACAAAGGGAAGAAATCACAAGAGAAACAAATGACTCATCATGAGATATGCGCAATCTCGGACAGCTAGCTGTTTCGACCTTGTCACATTATAAAATAAACACATACAAGAGCATGCCACTACTCAACACTGTCAAGTACAAAAACAAGATCAGCAGCAGCGGTGGCGACGAGGATGGCAACAGCTGCAAGAACAACATCATCAGCAGCAGCATCAGCACGAATAAAAGCTGCAAAGCGCTCGCTCGCTCTCTCTCTCTCTGTCTCTCTCTCTTGGCTCACCATCTGAGTTCTTAAAGCTCTTGGAACTTATTTTTTATTTTTTTATTTAATTGTCCAATGGCAGAAGCCAATGCAAAGGAGGGGCGTTACCCAGCCATGGCACTTGTAGTATGTCCCTAAAACTCACATGTGTGTGCCCAGCTCTTTGACCTCGTGCTGAATGACATCATCCATGCTGGCAGCACCAACCATTTCCACCAAGTTTCCACGGTGGTTACCGTATACAGTGATGCGCTGTGATGCCGTTTGAAGTTCCGCCTGGTAAAAAAAAAGATACACACACACACACACACTTTAGGACGACTGTGTCAGAACTTCCTCCGACTCAGAAGGCAATCTGCGGTACTAGTAGTAGGTTGAGGTTGGTAGAGGGTTGTGCCAGCACCCTTTGCTCGGGCCAAGAAAGAAAGGATTCTTCCCAGAAAGAGATTACCCAGTACAGGCACAGTATCCACGATAGAGTTAGACCTAGACTTCCGAATTTCAACAATATTCCATTGCAGACACACAACAGATGACAAGGAAATGTGCATGTTCTGAGCTGCACAAACAGCATGCATCAAGGACGATATAATACACATGCACCCTCACCTTGAACACAACATCCTGCACCGTTTGTTGACTATCGTTATGCACACAGATATAGCTGGAAAACGTTTCACCCAGGTAAATATTGCTGTACAAGCAGAGAACGCCATTTACATGTCCAGACCCACACACACACACAGACATGAAACAATCAACTGTAAATGATCATGTACAATACAAAACACCGGGTGTGCTTCTACCACCATTACTCTAACAATACAAACGATAAGATGTAGTGTATTGTGAGTGAGTGTGTGTGTGTGTGTGTGTGTGTGTGTGTGTGTGTGTGTGTGTGTGCATGCAGACGCTAGCACATGCTTGTGTGTGCTTACCCAAAGTTTTGTGGTAGTGACAGGACTTCTCCAAGTGACGCCCTCAGCAAGCCACTAGGCGTACGCACGTCCGCCTTCAGTGCAGACTCCAGCGTCGAGCCTGAAAGCAACAAGGCCGTGGCAACAGCAGCAACACAACTCTTAGTTTTGGCAGCAATGTACCAGGAGGCCCAGCAAGTAGTAGAATAAACTACAGCTGACTGATAACGCTACCGGCGATCTCTAGACAGTTTCTACACGTACCAACCAGTGCTCAATCTCTAATCAAATACTCAATAGCTGTCTGTGAAGAGACGGTGGTCGAGTACCGGATACACTTGGCCCGTATGAACTTGGCTCACATTTTCACAAAAGATTTTTTGCACAAACTAGTTCATATAATCATACGACCCAGAAACCCTAGTTAAGTATCCCATAATGGTTGGAGGATATGAGTATGCACATGTGAGTGAGAGAGAGAGAAAGAAAAAGAGAGACAGACAGACAGACAGAGGATCTTCATGCAACATCCCCCCCTCCCCCCCCCCCCCCCCACACACACACACACACACAACACAGATGAGCACTGTCAACTACCTGGCATATCCCATGGTTCATTGATAACCGGCACTGACGATAGCAGAGCTGGCTTCGTCAAGCGCATTACTAAACAAAACAACAACAATGACATCACCAACAGGACAGATAGCAACATAACAACACACTAAATCGTCCTCTTTGGACATAATGCCTGTATGTCAGTTCACTGCCATTGTTGCAATTGTTGTTTGAGGATCGCTTTTGCATGGGACTACAGGTAGAGTTACAGCTGAAATCTTGCTCGGCCGTCTACATACATATTATGTTTGAAAGATGTGTCTGCTGGGTATCGAGCACAGTGCAAGCCGAGCCAGTCTCCTACTGTATAGACTGTGTGTTTGGACACGCTGCCACTCAGGTATCATATTACCCAGCACACGTACTACACGGCAGCAGCAGGGGGTATAAAATGATGCACAAATGTCTGGACATTCCCTGTACCGGTATGCCCATTATTGCGCATGAACAACCAACGGGACGGAACCGCCAAAAGTGTTCAACTGCATGCAGTGCGGTTCCGACAATTCCAAGTTGACGTCATGTTCATGATGCAATGCTTGTTGCACGCGTGTCTTCTTACATCAGTAAAAATGTGCCACCGTGTCACACCAATCTACTTGTACGGTTATGTACAAAATCAGACCGTGGGAGGTCCGCAAAAGTGTCTGAAAAACGCGCGTACACCATGTACTAGGCATTACATCACCAAATGAGGTCTGCTGGGATGGCACTGGGTGCGAGAGCTGCATCCTCTACCGGCTAAGCTTGGGCGTTATATATATGTACTGTTGGAAATATTTGACAAAAAATTGACAAAAAATTGAAAATACATGTACTGTACTAGTAGTTCCAGTCCTGGTGGTGGCAGTCAGTTTTTTCTTCAGACTTTTCCCGTTTCAACTCCCTCAACATTATGAATATTATGCATATTTAGACAGGTAGCAGTAGGCTAAAGCATAGTGTACAGGTCTGTACATCAAGAATTTGCTTGACTGGTTTGTCTTTCAGTAGCCACAATAAAAGAATTGCATGATTGTACACAAATGTACATTGTACTCCGGAATCTCTACTCAACTGTATGCATGCTGGCTGCTCGACATAAGAATGAGAACACAGCGCCAGCTGATTGCTACAAAAATCTCTGGGGCATATTGATAATGTCTTCGCAACAAGCTCTGTATTCAAATTTCCCAAAGACTGTCTGCACAACATTTCAAAAATATTTGCAAAGAGTACGATATTACTAGTACCTTTCAGCGTCAATAGGTGGTCTCTTTGTGTTTGGCCAGCCATTGTTGATGGGCAGGTATACACTTAGAAAGTAATCTAATTGGAACGTTACATTCTCACAAGCTCCAGGCTCACAATGCCAACCTCAGGCTGCAGATTCAAACGCAATTCCATTTTTACAACCTCAGAACTTTCACTTGCTTCTTTGACTTCGTCATTGTGACCTCACGATATGACATATCTGTGACGTCATAGCCCATTGAATTATTCTTGTTTTAATAATTATGATCATGCATCATCAGGGCCTATATAGGGAGTCGTCAAAATTATTTTAGGTTGATTGATTTTGTCAATGATTGATCGATTTTTTTGAACTACTAATACTGGTACGTACGTCATGTAACTCCAAACTACCAAAGTCACAAGTGTGATCATGCTGAGCTGACATGACTGCTGTAAAACTGAAAGTAAAATAAAATACTACTGATGATTTGTGGCACATGGCCTCATTGAGAGTGGGTTTATTCACAACGCCAATCGCGTGAACCATGAAGACAAGTAAGAACCAAAGCAAAAAGACAACCCAAATTCGGAAATAGGTTATTTCCAAATAATTACACTCCTTTATTTGCCTCGTGTACACCTTCCAAATAAAAGGGACATCGTCAGGCGAACAACACAAATACATGTAATTATAATACGAACCCTGCACTGACAGGATAGTATGAAGTGAGCAATAGTGTATTGAGTGAAGGTCAAGAATGAAGGAGAGGGGGGGGGGGGGGTACACACATATTCTGCAGGCCCGACGGAAGGCCGCGGGGGTGAAGTTGGTCCGGTTTGAGGGAGGTCCGAGGGACCTCCCGCGGGCATTTATTGGAAAAATCCGGTCAGAAATAGCAGAATTTGGCCCATTCACAAGTTTTCAGAGCCCACTACATGTAAGGGAATAATTGTGCATGGATATCAATGTACAATGTATGGCCTACTATAGTATGGGAGCACGTACAATGGTATGCATGATCGATAATACATGTACATGTACCCAGAATTTTTCCTCCCCGGTTTTAGACGAATCCCAGCTAGGGGTGACCTGAGCCAGAGTTGGTCTGGTGACAACCGGATCAACCAGACCGGCGGCCCTGTTCTGACACAACTACATGCATATCAGCTGCGCAACAGGATCATCAAGTTCACGGGAGTACTGCACCTGATCGGATCCAGCAGCAGTGGATAACCATGATAACTAGCTAGAGACCAGGGAGTCGTACACAAAACTTTTGTTGGGGTACGACCCCCTGCTAGCTGCTAGCGACATGCACGGCATATGCCGATCAGGGAGTAACTTACTATACTCCTCCCTGATGCAGATACAGTCTATATGCTCCGGTCCAGAATCAGAAGACGATACAGCAGGCAATGTTCATGACAGTCTTGAAATCAGTCTCAAGGCACACAGTACAGTGCACAGTACAGTGCACAGTACAGTGCACAGTACAGTGCATAGTACACAGTACAGTGCACAGTACAGTGCACAGTACAGTGCACAGTACAGTGCACAGTACAGTGCATAGTACACAGTACAGTGCACAGTACAGTGCACAGTACAGTGCACAGTACAGTGCACAGTACAGTGCACAGTACAGTGCATAGTACACAGTACAGTACTGCTGGTGCAGGAAAGAAGCACAGCAACACAATGGAAGCAGCATAGCCAGCAAGAAGATTAGCAGACAGAGTTACAGTAAACCAAGAGCGGAGGGAACGGTCAAGGTCATGTAATAGAAAAAACTTCAAAAATGATGGTATCAAAACAAAATCAAAAAATCAGGCTAACAGAAACAGTCTCTGTTCCAGCCAACAAAAAGGAAAATGCACACACACACACACACACACACACACACACACACACACACGGACGGGTAGAGCGGGATAGAGAAATGAGACAGGCCCGGCAGCAGCTAACGCCAACAACAAGAACAAAACACTTGACAGACAGTTAAAAGTATGTGCAGCGACGAGCAATGTAAGATTCTAGCTATGGAAATGACATTTTTTCTGAGAGGAATTTTGCGATTGAATTGCTATGAGACATGAAATCCTGAGCTACAAAACCAGTTAAACCACTGACGAAATATTCTTACAAACTACTTTACAAAACTAAAAAGGCATGAAAAAGAACACCGACAGGAGCAGGAGAATTAAGTACAATGAAGTGTGAATCTTCTGGCGGCGCAGCGATAACATATGTATGACACCGTTTCTGTGCAGTGCATCGGACTATGATGCCCAGTACACTGTCAAGTATAATATTGGATGATGATGATAGTAGTAGTCGTAGTAGTCGTAGCAGTCATAGTTTTAATCGTAGGAGCAACAGCAGCAGGCAAAGTACCGTACTGCCAACTATGGAAAATATCAAGGCGGTGGCGAGGTTGCAAGGCCGCAGATAAATACTCTCTATCAAATCTGGGTTGCTGCGGGCAAGACATGCACTGGCGCATGCTGCCGAAAATCGGGTGAGGGAATTCTGAACAGGGCCGGGGGGGGGGGTACAGGGGAAATGACAATGCACCAGGCCTGGGGGGGGGGGGGTGTCTGAACAGGGGCACAGATGTATATACGCAGGGGAAAGTAGATGCAGGGGAAATGGAATTGCATTGGACAGCGGCGGGACTCGAGAAGGTAATGAGTTTGATTGAGCTCAATTTGTGGACTTAGGTTGGGGAAACAGCAGCACTGCTACTGGTGAAGAAATACGAAAGAAAATGATACAAGAAGACATTATAAAGATGCAAGAGATGCCAACCTTTGCTCCAGCTTTTCAATAAAGAGTATCTGCACCGATGCAAGTGAACGCTGGATGACAGACTTGGGCAGCCAACCCTAGACAGCAGCAGCAGCAACAGCAGCAATGCACAAAGAGACATTTCCTTTCTTGTAAAGCACCATTTAAAACATAACACAACAGTAGATACAACTAAACATGTACAACAGTAGATATGACTAAACATGTACAACAGTAGATATGACTAAACATGTACAACAGTAGATATGACTAAACATGTACAACAGTAGATATGACTAAACATGTACAACAGTAGATATGACTAAACATGTACAACAGTAGATATGACTAAACATGTACAACAGTAGATATGACTAAACATGTACAACAGTAGATATGACTAAACATGTACAACAGTAGATACAACTAAACATGTACAACAGTAGATACAACTAAACATGTACAACAGTAGATATGACTAAACATGTACAACAGTAGATATGACTAGTTGCAAGAGTTCATAACCCCCAAGAGTGTGCAACGGGCATAGACCCAGCGCTCGGCGAAATTCCTACATTACGTCATGCGCAGCTTGTCATCCGAGGTAAATTTGGGTTCTTTGCGATTTCTGGAAACTATACCCTGAACCGCCCCTAACTCAAGGCTGTAGCCTCGACTTTTCGAAGCTTTTTTTGAAGACATTTCGGACGTACAAGTCGTACTTTCTCAAAAACAAACTTTTTCTCCAAGAATCCATGGACATATCGCGACAGGAAGAAGTGAGGACGCTGTTAAAAATATTGCATTGCCGTCGAGGACAATCATTCTGATAGCTGTGCAACTCAGCCGAAAAATGCTCCTTCGACGTATTCTAAAGTTCCTCAACCATTTGAAATTATCTTCCAGGAAAGCACCAGAAATATGCCGATGGCCTGGGGAAGAAATTGTTCTTGAAGAGACTGACTGCACTGGTGAAAGAAGAAGGCGATGAAGAGTCACCATTGCATCGAAAAAATAGTTTTGTCTTTCGTGTGCATACTTTGTTTCACTTTTGCTTCTGGACTCGAGGCTCAGACTAGAATCGCAGTTTAGGCAGTTTACCCTGGGGAAGCATCCTGGTTTGACTGTAAATTTTAGAAGAATTCATCGGCGCGACTCATCGCACTGCACCAAAAATGACGCAATGAAGGAATTCCGCCGAGCGGGCTTCCACACAGGATCAGGAGTTGCACACTCTTGGGGATTATGAACTCTTGCTAGTTGCCTATAGTCAACTGGTACTTGAGGAATCAAAGATTGCTCTCCAGTCTCCACAAACATGTAAGTGTAGAAGCAGAGTATTTTCTTGCTTGACACTCTCGGCAGTTGGTGTGCTGTTTTAAAACACTACAGTCGTGGACAAAGAAATCCGACCCGCGTCCGCAAGTCGAAAGCAGCGCCGCATTTCCATTTCAACTACATCATGCATGTTCCCAAAAACCGATCCGAGGGCCGCAGGGGATGCATGAGACTTGGCGCTGCTTTCGGCACGCGGGTTGGATTTCTTTGGCCACGACTGTACAAGATCATGAAACACCATTGGGTTTCAAAGCAGTGGACACATTCTCCTGCCTGCAGCAGATGAATACAACACAGGGATAACACTTACTTTCAAGTCTGTTGTCAGGTACCACACAAAGCTACACTTTGGTGGATTGGAGCCTGTCGGTTTGCAAATAAAGCCGCATACTCCATTCTCTCCTCTGCAAACAGCACCAGACCAGGAGTAGATAAATAAAATCTCATCACAAATGAGCGGGGTACATCAAAGAACACACATCTCGACACACAAATCATTTTAAATTGTATCAGCCCAGTTGACAGAAACGGAGCCCCACCTACAATACAGGTGATCACCAGTATGCTACATTAAGACGAGCTCCAGTGAAGACAATGTGATTGTGTAGTACAGTACTCAAGTACATGAAGGCGACACAACTGTTACAGCACACCGGCAAAAAGCCTACTGCCAGACTTCGCTTACCTAACAACATTCGGCTGAGGTGGCATGTCTTTGTGTGTACACGCAATGCCGCTGGACACCCAGACATCTTCAAACCGATCCCAATGTAAAAGAGACACAAAGTCACTGCATCAACATAGAGAGAGAGAGAGAGAGAGAGAGAGAGAGAGAGAGAGAGAGAGAAAGAGAGAGAGAGAGAGAAAGAGAGAGAGAGAAAGAGAGAGAGAAAGAGAGAGAACACAAATGAAACACCACAGTAGACAACAACATTCAACCATCAGGATGTGGGACGAAATCTAAAATATTTGCTCGAGTCGTATCTCTATTATATGTATCACACAACACTGCACTGCACTGAGCAGCATAAGCTCATGTAACAGTTATTGAACGTATTGTGCATTGGGCCCACAATTACTTCGAGTAGACAGCTTGCACACACACACTGTGTGTGTGTGTGTGTGTGTGTGTGTGTGTGTGTGTGTGTGTGTGTGTGTGTGTGTGTGTGTGTGTGTGTGAGAGAGAGAGAGAGAGAGAGAGAGAGAGAGAGAGAGAGAGAGAGAGAGAGAGAGAGAGAGAGAGAGAGAGAGAGAGCTTAATCACAGGCGCAGATCTGGTGAGGTACTCACCGCGAGGATATCACTCCTCCGCCAATTTCGTTAGCTAGGTTATATACAATATTGGTGTGGTCATCAATGCGCTCCAGGAGCTGTGGGAGACAGCACACAGGGCAGCAAGAGACCACAGGACACAGTCACACACTCGTTACCAGAATAGCAGTATGACACATACAAGGTAGAAACAGCAATACAACACATCACGGGCAGAAACACTTTGTTGACCGTAGTCAATAAATTGTTCATTTAATATTAAAAAGCGAAGAGAACAAATACGGAGAACCAAGCATAACGTTCACTGAGCGAAAGGAACAAAATACAGAGGTACTTCAGTGAATATACCTCCAGGGGACACAAAACTCTGTACTTTTCAATACAGCTGAGGTACAAGACATCAGTTGTTTTTGCTTTGCTTTTCCCATCTCACATGTCCACTCTGGTCTGGTAAAATAAAAGCATACAGTGTAAAAAATCATGCTACACGGCTGAATGTAGCTGTTACCTTTGATTCTTTGACAGTGGCGTCCCATTCAGCCATGAGGTGATTGTCAAAGTAGCAGATGCGAAACACCTGAGCGGCACTAAACGGTAGCTGAGCCTAGAATTAGACAAGACAAAGCCAACACTCATGGTCAAAGGGTCAGAGTGCACCGCAAAAGCACAGAAATACGATTAGACACATAACGAAGACGAGAAACCACTCGGGATAATTTGCAACTCAGTGTAAAGTTCCGGCAGTCTTCAAGCATCTCAAAATTAGAACAACGTCAACGAGTTTGAATCTACAGTTGTGGCCAAAGAAGTCCGACCCATGAGCAGAAGACAGCTCTAACGCTCATGCGGCCCCTGTGCCCCTTGCATGGGGTTTTGGATCGTGTACGATATAATTGAAATGGAAAAGCGGTGCTGGTTGTGACTTGTGGATCAGATTTCTTTGGCCAGGGTCAAGCGGCGAGAGAGTACACGCTCCAAACATGCCAGAGCAGATTCATCGCACACTAGTACCTGTATTCGAATTGTCCTTGCACCATCGGAGTCCATCGTGTGGATTTGCACGTTATCCTGATAAGAACAGGATGCAAACAATACAGGCAGAGGCAGCAAGGTGAGTACTATGGCCAGTACTGCCGGCTGGCAAAGCTGCTGGCTGACATACTTGTAAGCACATCCATGCTGCACCCAAGAAATTACACACATTTACACACATCCATAGTCCCCAACAGTAATCATGGTAATTGGGTGCACCAATCCCCCCCCCCCCCCCCCCACACACACACACAGGAGAGAGAGAGAGAGAGAGAGAGAGAGAGAGAGAGAGAGAGAGAGAGAGAAAGAGGGAGGGATACATGCACGCACATGCAACAATACTCAAGGCAACTGTTTTAAGCTTGCATTGCACCACAACACCTCTGTTCTACCCCCCACCCCCAATACATACGCATAATTCTGTAAACATAACCGTACAGCAACACACAAGCACAAACAAAACCAGAGACAGATGCGCAACATACCGTGATTTTCTCAACGGCCCAATCCATGACTACAGGCTGGGAATACCATGACCAGACTTTCTGCAGTGTCCGTTGGCCAAGCAAGACGAGCCGCCGATGCTCTTCACTCAGCTCAACTTCTTCCGGCAATTCCTCAACAGTCGGCTGCCGCTCGGGTTCCAGGAGTAAGCTTTCGGTGGGTGAGTCTTAGAGTTGAATAGCCAAACATTAGCAGTAAAGGAGCACAATTCAAACATCAGCACTGACCAGTAACTTTAAACAAATAGAAGCACTGGTACGGAAAGGGATATAGACTCCAATGGGCATACCCCCACACACCCAGCCAGCCAGCCAAATACTTCCTACCCTGACTAGACTGTCAAACAGAACAAAACAGCAATGCGTCTAAAGGAGAAGTACTGAACGTGTAGAGCTGTCACAGATACCAGGGATGGTCTAGAGTCTAGACCAAGAGATACAACCGGCATATCGACAACAGGAGCGCATGTCAACAAAGGAAGTCGAGCAGCTGGGAAAGAAGGTATCTAAAGCAAGAAGAAAACACGTGGGTGGTCGTGTTGTCTCAGCCATACCTCTAGGTGTCTGGAAGTTATCAACTGATCCCGTCGATACAACCGAACCCGGTCCCCGCGGGTATGCAAAGTTGAGAGGAGGTGTTCGGCTGTCTATAGGAGCAGGTCCATACGGTCTACACAGAAGTCAGTATAGGGAATATACATGCACAGACACATATACAGACACACACACGTACACGTACACAGACACACACACACGGACATCCACAAGCAAACCAGCAGTAAGACAACAGAATAGAAGAAACTACAAACACTGCGTTCACTACTCCGCTGCCAATGGCTGTGGGTGCACACTGCTAACCAAGCCGGCTGCATGCTTTGCACTTGTATAGCGACATGTCATGTTCGCCTCTTCACAACGTCAACCCGCAGCCAGAACACGCGACTATTTTCGTCTGAGCACACAATGCAGCGTGGATAAATACAGACCCAGGCGTCCCTACGCACAAGCTTACCTGTAACCATTATCATTTTGGAAGCGTGACGACTCCTCAGCACTCGCTGCGTGAACAAAAATCAACCAACATACACACAAACACACTCAGACATGCCCATCGCGGAAGCGATGATAGCAAACAGCTATGTTAGACATAGCAACTTGTGCTGGGAGTACACCATTCAGCAGCTTGCAAGGCTGATGAATTGACCGCCACTAATTCTAGCCTGGTATCCACCACACAGCTGATTGAAGTGGCTTTTTCTGGCCAGTGAATTCCTATTTTTTCCACTTTTCTTTCTTTTTTTGACACACACACCACACCACATACTCCGGCATACACTGGCTGTTGGTAACCACCCAGGAGAATGAAAGAAGAGCTAGGAGAATGAGAAACAGAACACACACACACACACGCACACACACACACACACACACACAGAGCACAGGCACAGCACTTTTAAAATACGTTCTATATAGAAAATGAAGAGAGGTGACAGCAGAACACGCAATGCGGCAGCCTCTGCAAGACAAATTCGAAACACGGCAGCTTGGAAAGGACACTATCAATCTATCCACGTACTGCTGTGGTTCATGTCAAAAACACTAACAGCATCACCAAAGGAGTAGCCACCAACATTACGCTGAACCCACACGAACAAAACAAGAATGCAATCTACAAACTCGAAAGAAAACCTTACCTGCACGCCGACTAGATGTCACTACCTACAAAAATCAATAGATAAACACACACAACAGACGTAAACAATTTGCCCCCACGGCAGCAAGAAGAGAAGTGAGAACTGTGCTGAGCACCAAGCATAACGTACCGGGCACTGTGTCAGTGGAAGGAAAACTAATGCAGTGTGTGTGTGTGTGTGTGTGTGTGCGCGCGCGCACGCGTGTGTATGTGCATGTGTGTGTATGTGTGTGTGTGTGTGTGTGTGTGTGTGTGTGTGTGTGTGTGTGTGCATGTGTGTGTGTGTGCACGAGCATGCCCGTAACACGGCTTACCTTAGTTTCAAAGTAGAGGAGTTCCACCCAGGCTAGGATGAAGACACCCACACCCAGTATGATGTCAGTGAGGTGAGAGGACGAAAACTAACAAACACACAAACACACGGAACACAGACCAAACACAGGAAAATAAGTGTTGCGATCAGATGAACACACACACACACACCTTTTTTTGACCTTTTTTGACGCCCATCGCCGGAGGCGATGATAGCAATGCTACGGCAGAAGCCATAGCAACTTGTGCTGGGATTGCACCATTCAACAGCTTGCAAGGCTGAAGAATTGACTGCCACTATTCAGCCTGGTCTACACCATACAGCTATTTGAAGTGACTTTTTCTGGCCAGTGAATCCCTATTTTTGGTCTTTTCATTCTTTTCCCCGCACACACATAACACCACATACTCCGGCATGCACTGGCTGTTGGTAACCACCCAGAAGATTGAAAGAAAACTCAGGAAGTGTCTGAGAAAGAGAAGAAAGACGTGTGTGACCATAATCGTCGGGAATGGAACCCGCAACCTATCGATTGGAAATCGCTGCACATACCACTGCACCATATGGGACACACACACACACACCATGTACCATGTATACGCCCGTCGCAAGAGAAGCACGCAAATCTGCAAATGCACTGGATGTGCACAGACACACACACACACACACACACACGGAACATAACCGATGTCTCTTCCACAGACAAGTGGGTCTACCAAAGACTGAGTCGTCGACACAGAGTAACAATAATACTAGCCATGTCCCTAAACGCCTCTGGAAAGAATCAGCTTGGAATGAAATAGCACGCGTATGCAGAACTCAGTGGATAGGACAAATGACAAAATAGGATGTACAGCATGTTATGTGTACTGATTGGTCACCGTCTTACCTCAAACAAAATAACCTTAATGACGAGATAGAGCGTATTAAGCAAGGTGGTAGTCTGCACAATGTACACACACACACACACACACACACACACACACACACACACACACACACACACACACACCATACGCGGAGCATACAGAGGATGTCGGATTGACACAGGTCCGGTAACATAACTCCCGACGATATTGTGCACCAAAAACCTCAGTTGAACAGGACGGTGCACACATTCATGATAAGGGAGTGCATGGTGACCCGTGTTGCAGGTACCTGACCTGGCGTGTCAATGCTATGCCTCGGTTCATCTGTTATCACGACAACTAGTCTATTAGTGCATCCATCCACATCCTACTTGTTATCTCATACACAACTGCAAACTAGTATGAAACAATAAAGGTGAGTGCAAGCCCCCCCCCCCCCCCCCCCACATTCAGTTAGTCTCACCTTGCACACAGTTTCTACCGCAGGCCATATGGCCATTTATGAGAGGCTATGGCCCAATACGAGGGGCATATGCCTTTATACTTGTAGTGTGTGTGCTAGAAAAACATTTTCATCATCACACAAAATCATTACACCCCCACAAACATCCACGCACGCACACGCGCACACACACACACACACACACACACACACACACACACACACACACACACACATGCATACACACACGCACACACACACACACACACACACACACAATAAAGGTACTTACCCAGACTATGTATCGAGACTTCATAGAGAGTATAGAGTACAGCAGGAGTAGCACAAACGCACGCAAGAACCCAGCAAGCTGCACATGAACACACAGACAGACATACACACAGACACACACAAACACAAATAAATAAAGATACACCAACACCAAGAGGCACATACTCATACACATAGACATGCGCACACGCGTTTGCTCACAGCCAGAAACTGTTGAAGTGGGTCTCCCTGGGAGAGGTGGGGCGGGGAGAGAGTCAAAGGAAATTTGGAAAGGTGACTCAATATGCTGCTGCCCCCCACCCCCACACACACATGCATGCACGTGCACACACACACACACATGCACATACACACACACACACACACACAGCTTCAAGACCTACCACTAAATCTGCCAAGGATGAATGGATGTCGAAAATTTCTTTTGTAGTTCTCTTGCCTTTGAAGAGGCCAGTCTCCTGCACCCCATAGACACAAACACAACATACCCACAGACAACATACACATACACACAGACAACATTCATATACACACAAACACAACACACACACAACATTCATGTAGACACAAACAACAGTCACATACACACAGACAGACACATATTTCAAAGTATGCACTAATACACACAAAGAGACACACACACGAGCGCGCACGTGTGTATGCATGCATGTGTGTGATGTGTGTGTGTGTGTGTGTGTGTGTGTGTGCAAATGTGCGAGGTTGCGGGTTTAATTCCCGACGATTTATGGTCGCACACGTCTTTCTTCTCTTTCTCATTCTCCTAGCTCTTCTTTCATTCTCCTGGGTGGTTACCAACAGCCAGCGTATGCCGGAGTATGTGGTTTGGCGTGCGTGTAAAAAAATGAAAAAATGAAAAATAGGGATTCACTGGCCAAAAAAGCCACTTCAATCAGTGGTGTGGTGGATACCAGGCTAAAATTAGTGGCAGTCAATTCATCCGCCTTGCAAGCTGTTGAATGGTGTAATCCCAGCACAAGTTGCTATGTCTAACATAGCTGTTCGCTATCATCGCTTCCGCGATGGGCAGGTCTGAGTGTGTGCAGCCCCCCCCCCCCCCCCACACACACACTTATTTGCCGTTTTGTGTATTCAGGCCATTCAACGAAAAATGCAGTCGATAGTCACTAACATAGGGTTCATAACGGCACACTTGTCTGGGGTGAAGTCAGGATATGTTGCATTTTGGGTGGTAGGACAATTATGGAATATGGAAAAAATGCGCTACGAGGTAACTGTTTCCCCTGCCCCCCCCCCACTATATTTACCTGGCTAGAACCCTAATGTGTGTGTGTGTGTTGCTAGGGCCGCGTAGCGCCTGGCGCTATTATATTCATGAGGTGGAAATTTCTCTGGCCAGGACTTTACACAGAAAGCACAGCTGCAGAGCAGGAAGCACAGCTACAAAAAAAGGGAAGAAAGCCGAAGAAAGGCGACATCCAGACAGCTGGTAGCAACAAGCCAATCTAAGCTTCCTGCAACTCAAGACCGGAGGTGCTGTGTAGTAACAGTAGTAACATGAGTATGACGTTGAAAGCACCACACCACATGCACCCAGCTACTGCTGCTGTAAATGAATCTAACACCCGTGCTCACACTGGTCTGCTTAACCAGCAGGAAAGGACAGTAGTAACGTGACCAGTGTGAGGCATGACACAATAATACTAGTTATTATTATTACTTTGCTTGTTCGCGTTGGCATCAACCTGCATAAAGCAGGTATTTAGCCTTCGCTTAAGCTGCCATAAAAAAGAAAGCTCATCCTAAGCGAGAGGGCTAGAGGAAAATATAACGATAACGAGATACAGAATACAAACAGATCCAATGAGTTCAACATACAATTCAAAACAAGAAAGAAAGGAAAGAAAAACAGAGCCGAATCTACCGATTGATCCATCAATACTAGTAGCAGTGTGATTACTATGAACTGCATAAAGTAGTTACAGGCACACCCACCAGTGCGATGTCACTGCTTACTATACACCAGTGTGATGTCACTGCATACATGTACATGTACATATACACCGGTAATAGAAGTTAGTACAGGACTACAGGTACAGATACGGGTACATGTACATATAGGTGCTATCTGAACTTCACACCAGATCGTCCTACTTGTACATAAATGATTGCCCGGAATTTCCTATATCCTGTGACATAAGCCCATGCACACTCTGGGGGTTACGCACTCTTGCTGTTACTTGCATATGTACTTATGTAGCAGCTACAGCAGCTCCCAACACATACAAAAAGCAGCACATGATCTGTAAACCAGCAGTTTGATACATTAAAATAAAAATATTTTGAGCACCACCACGAAGTTTCGACACATTACGTAAGAATAAGCCAAGATCATGTGATTCGTGTCGGTGCTTTAACAGTCTTCGTGTGAAAGACTACAAAACATGCAGCATTTCATGAGTGCATCTTCACACTTCATCTACTACTACTACTACTCTTCTACGATACTAGTGGACCGTCATGACCAACCTACACATCGTGCACACGGCATGCTAGTAGTGAAACCGACACCATGCACACAGTACTGGTAGCTATTCAAGCTGGAAAGTGCTATACATGTCCACGGTAAGTTCAAAATTTTTTAAAAAAGTTTACGGTCGACAGCAAAGTAACGTCTGTCGGGGAAACCGACCACACAACTACCTGTGTTCGGCCTTACCTGACTAAGTGTAAAACACCCAGTGAGATAAATGACATGAGCAGGTTTACAATATAAAATAACTCAGATGGTGAGCCAAGGAAAAAATTGTAACATGGAAAAATCTGACTCACAGGAGCTGACGGTGTGTTGCTATTGTCGGCATGTGTTGTGATACCAGACGGGCTACGCCATTCCGTCATGGCATTAGCGCATGAGGGACACCCGGGCTAGGAAGCCTTTCAAGATTCCCTCCGGCAGAGGGTTTGGTGGCCAGGGCTCACCAAGGACGCTAGTCTGCATGTGGAACGTTGCTCCGAGTGTTGGCAACGTCGCGCAAACAGTCCACAAGATCTTCTCCCCACTGAGATAGAAGGCGTGTGGGAGAAGCTGGCAATCGACCTGGTATCTATTGAGGGCCACTCTGTTCTCTCCCTCATTGATTATGGCTCCCGGTACCCTATCCTCAAGGTTCTGTCCTCTACAACCACTACAGCTATCGTGGACGAGCTAGATGAAGTATTTGCCCTATTTGGTCTACCGTCTGTACTGCTTTCGGATAACGGGCCACAGTTTGAATCGGAGCAGATGACCACTTTCTTGCAGCGGCTGGGCATTCGTCACATCCGCTCCAGCCCAAGTTATCCACGCTCCAAAGGCATGGTGGAACGACTCCATTGTCTCGTCAAGGAAAGAATGGTGGCACGCAAGCCTCATTTACATTTCCGTCGACGACTGAACCAGGTTCTGTTCCACATCCGACATTCTCGACACCGCATGTTGGGAACCTCTCCAAACGAAGCTCTGTTCCCTCGTCCATTGCGTAGCAGAGTTCCTACCGTTATCCCTCCACGCATCGTTAAGCCCAGCATCCAGCTGAAAGCCAAGGCCGCAATGGCACGTGATCATGACGCGTCGGGGAGTGAAGGCCTTGCCACATCTGGCAAGCGGGTGATACTCCATGACGGATACAATGATCCAGCCAAGCCGTGGACCGTGGTGGAGCAGTACGGGAGGCAAGTGGGAGTAACCGACGGTGTCCGGATTCTGCTTCGTAACCACCAACATGTCAGACAATTGGTCTCACCTGCTGCTGCATCGTCTGATTGGCCTGAGTTCGTCGCCTCAGCACCCAAGTCACCGCTGTCCACGCCTCCTGTTCATGTTCCGAGTCCGACTAGCCCGGCCGCACCACAATCGGCTACAGGTAGCGAGCCATTGGTGCCAGCGTCAACGGAAGCTGAGGCCCCTCTCACCTGTTCTGCACTTACTGACGCCTCACCCGCGTGTTCTTCGCCTCGTCCAGTTTCTCCTACCAGGGGTCAGACCAGTCCACCAGCCAGTGAGTCTCCCAAGTGCTTTCATGATGACCGTCAGGTAACCCTTACAGAGAAGGCCAGAGCGGCTTATGGATGACTGCTGTTGCTGTGGGACAATGTGTCCATGGGCACGTAGAGACCATTTTACCTTTTTTGTTTTTGCGGTGAAGTTTTTTGTTTCTTTCTTCCTTCCCTTTCCTTCATTCACAGCCGCTTTCGAAATTTCCTCTACCTAGTATGTAGCGTGGTTGTGTTTTGTTTTGTGTTTTTTTTTCTCTCAGTGATTTCCAGCTTTGAATGACTGGCATGCGCATTCGTTTCGGTTTTTTTCTTCTGATTTTTTTCTCTTCGATTAATCGGCTTTTCCTTTCTTTTCCCTCTTCACTTTGTTCCTTTATTTGATTTCTTCTCCTCTTTTTTTATTGAAGGGGGAGATGTAGTGATGTACATACGTATAGTGTGCGCATGTGTGCATGCAGTGCAGTGTACAAGCAGAGCTTGAAGACGAAGCCTGCAATGGCTACCTCCTGTAGTCCTGACTTGGATTGTTGTAGTGTTGTCAATCCACATGAAGTACAGTAACATAAATGCACTGGGTCAGCGCTTCACTGCACATTGTCCCTGCACCATGTAGATCTATGCCTACACCTCTCTCTCTCTCTCTCTCCAGCCAGGGCCGGCGGAACCGGTCAGGCTGGTCCGGCCATGGCCGGACCACTTTCCCAGCTGGGTGGTCCATGTGATTCGTTTAAAACCGGTGTAAAAAAATCCAGAGGTACATGACTCGACTGTATTGCCGACGTGTGATGTGCTTCGAAGTAGCTCAGGACTCCGTGACCGGCACTTGCACTGTATGGCTGATATGGATAAAAAAAAGTTGTGTTTGTGTTCTTTTACTATAATTTTCTGCATTTTCTGGAGCCTTAGAGATGCCCAAATTCGCTCTATTTCACGTAAATTTTAAATATTTCTCCCGGGGGAGGTCCCCCAGACCCCCTCAAAAGTTCACCGGACCACTCCCAAACTCCTTCCTCCGGCCCTGCCAGCACCAAGTCTATGGGCAGTATGGCGAATAACACCCACATCATGATAATCATGGACTGCGAATAATGCCGAGATGAGATCATGAGTGCTAGTGCTGTAGTGGTTAGACATGACCTTTGAGACTGCAACGACGTTACGTATTGCACTGCACAGTGCACGTGATCGTGAGAGCACTCAATTGTGTACTTCAAACCATGACAATCATGTAATTAATCCTATACTATACTATACAATGGAACATTCAGTGCGAGTGCGGCTAGCACATGTACAATGCTTGACAAGACAAATTCAACTCTACTCTACTTCAGGAAAACACAGGCAGCACCAGTATTGCACACAAACATAACATCACTGTTCTCTTACCTGTGCCTCGATCAGCCACAGCACAATAGTCAGCAAGAAATTGAAAATCGTCAGGATGTGAAACGACTTTTCAGTCGACTCTAACTCAATTTTGGCCTCGTTGTAAGCTCCCAGCAGAGCTGTGCGCTCGCCATTACTATAAGACAATGACATCCTTCAGTTCTACCGTTTTCTTTCTTTCTCAACCTCTACTGCTCTTGTCACTCCTTACTTTGAGTGTTCACACAGCTCTGGGCTTATCCGCCCATCCTCAAACGAGAGCAAACCGCGCAAATAGCGAATTACCAATCAGCTGAGTGGGAAGCACACTAAATGACTGTCACGCTTCATAAGACAAACCACTCTACACCACCATCATGACCTCGCAAATCGCGGGTGTCAACATCAAGCGTTATTCAAGGCCCCAGAGATCGTGCCATCTCTTTGCTGCCACCGAGATGTTCGAAAAGTGACAAGAACAGTACAATCATGTATTCTGAGTGATTTTTGACTTTTTGTGTTTCAACTCAAATGCGTGATTTGTGTTCAGCAAAGCGTGATCGATCAGGCAGGCCAGTGTCATGATCGCGATATGCACCAGGGAGTAGTACAATACCACGGTATTGTACTACTCCCTGATATGCACCATGTCTGATGACACTGTCTGTCTTGACAGCTATACTAGCTGAGTGTAGTCTGTAGAGCTTGAGTCTGACTGTACACGTATACACCACCCCAACTGACGTCACAGAACCACGATCTCGATCTCGTGCACGCGCGTGTGGCTAGATCTACAACAAGTACAAGCCAGGGAGTCGTAAAATACCTGGTATTTTACGACTCCCTGCTCCAAACATTTTCTGTGCGGTACATCTACATACGGTAATACATGTAGTAACCATGGTAACTGTATTAGCGATGCGATCGCGCGACGTCATATTCTGTGTTTTTTTGTTTGTTCTAGAATTCTGGAAGTGTTTTTTGATTTTTGAAAACGGCGCCAAGCGCAAGCAAGGCCAAATAAACCCGAAAATGCTTCAATATTTTGATGTAAAGGTTACACTTCATAATACAGTTACCAATTCTGCTTCATCCTTCGACTCACTTTTCCTGAATCAGACTTTCAGCTGATGGTGAATGGCGCTGGCGAAAGTTCAGAATAGCGTTTAGTAGTTTGGAAGTCATCTATAACTAACACGCTTCTGGAATTGAGGCAAAAGCTCCCACAATAAACATGTCATCATTTTTGGATACAGTGGAAGAACTGTACGAGACGAGAGACTTGTACCATGCCCTGGGACTGACCAAGACGGCATCGGACGCTGAGATCAAGAAGCACTATTACAAAGCCTCGCTGAAGGTCCACCCAGACCGAGTTGAAGAGAGTGAGAAGGAATTCGCCACCCGCAAATTCCAGGTGCTTGTGAAGCTATATGGTGTCTTGAGTGACAAGGAGAAACGTGCCCTGTACGATGAGCAAGGCATAGTTGATGATGAGGATTCAGCAGAATCTGATAAAGACTGGTACGATTATTGGAGACTGAGATTCACGAAGATCACGGTGGATGATATCGAAGCTTTTGCCAAAACTTACCGTGACTCGGAAGAAGAGAAGAGCGATTTGAAAGAAGCGTATGTAAGTAGCAATGGCAGCATGGAAGAAATCTTGACTAAGGTGCTATGCTCCACATACGAGGATGAAGATAGATTTCGTGTCCTCATTGATGGTTGGATAAAGGCGAAGGAGGTACCAAAGTTCAAAGCCTACGCAGAAGAGAGTAAGAGATCGCGTAAGCGTCGGAGGAAGGCGGCTCAAGCCGAAGCAGCGGAAGCGGAGGAGGCCCTTGCTGCTATTGGTGGTGTTTCTGGAGATGAAAACTCCCTGTCGGCATTGATCAAACGCAGACAAGCACAACGAGAAGGTGATGCAGATAGTTTCTTTGCGTCGCTCGAAGCAAAGTATGCATCAGGCGGCAAGGCCAAGTCAAAGGCCAAGGCCAAGAAGCAGGAATCAAAGTCTGCGCCATCGTCGAAGCGTTCAAAGAAATCTTAGCTGTGAGTCCTTGCAGGTTTGAGTGATAACATTGAATGACCTAGAAACCACTTGCCGGACCAGCTAAAGAGTCTCAGTGATGCTAGCGGGGCATTTTATATTTCCCTTTGGTGTAATGTTGTCAGCAGGGCAGGTGATAGCAGTGCTGGTACATTGAAATTTGACAAGTAATGTTGCTGCTGGTTGTGCACAAGCAATGCAGCGCTACAGTTTGCTTGCTTGTCTGGTCACAGTGTCTATGCAGGACCAATGCACTGCCACCATGTATGATGTTAACTGTGCCATTGCAAGTTTCAGGCCGTAATTGCCTTTGGGGTGTCTGCCGTATTTTTATCATGATAATAATTGAGCTCAGTTTTTTTATCCCACAATTCAGCTATGCATGTTATCAAGAGTACTCTTGATGTTATTTTGTGCATGCACGCAGGTAGTGCAGCATTTTGCTCTTTTTATTTTATTTGTTTCAATGCATGTCACTTGTCTGAAAGTTGCTAGTCAGAGAAGTTGGGACTCTTCGCGTTCTCTCAGTGTATGTCACCTTTGCTTGTTCCAGTTTTTCCTTGTTCCAACTCTCCCACATTTCAAAGTACCATTATGATTATGCTTGGAAGTAGGTTGTGTACGTCTCACTAGGGTGGAATGTGCAACTCCTTTCAGTATCGCCATGCCAGTCCGGAGTATAACTGACTTGGGCCGTGTGGGTGTGGGTGTGTGAGAGAGACAGACAGACAGAGAGAAAGACAGACACACAGAGAGACAGACACACAGAGAGAAAGACAGACAGAGAGACAGAGTGAATAGAATACTGATCGTGACTGTATGCATGAAACCTCTGCGGCATGGCAACCAGCTATTAGGCAGTAAACAAAGGGAATTACAAATTATATAACTGACGTAATTTATGGGTGTCTGCACATTCCAGCTCTCATCTACTCACGCTGAAGCGAAAACTATCCGAATGGTGCGCACGAGAGCGTGTTTGACTCACTGTGCCGATTGGTTTTCTTAAATGGAGGAATTCTCCAGCACCTCTGCACACATCTTTATTTGATCAATAGGTGATGCGGGACAGCGGCAGGACAACAGCTGCATCAACACAGTAGCAAGTTTCAATAGCACGAGACTATGCATCGCACGCAGCTGCTTGAAACCCACACTGGTACTGTACTATTGTACAAGTGAAGCAGGAAATAAAAATGGTTCAACGCTTGGCATGCATTCAATAGGAATCTACTCTGCGACAAAATATAGAGTAGATAGTTGTTGGGTGTATTTCTAGGTTCATTGCTACCTATAGTGAGCACTGTATTGACTCCAACCCAAGCAAGTGTCTATTCTCATTGATAATATCTATATAATAGAGAGGCGAATTTGATAAGAAATGATGCCATCGGGGAAGCATTTATTACTTCCTATTGAAGGAAAAACGTCCGAATGAATGAAGGAAAACAATTGTTTTCAAAATACGAAATGGTACAAAGGTAGGGAATGATTGGACAGCACATGAGAGTTTAGTCATCATCACTATCCTCGTCGGCTGGCTCAGCTAAAGCTTTCTCGGCCGCTTCCTTTGCGTCAATTTCCTGCTCTCTGGCCTCATCCAGCTCCTGCTCAACTTGCCGCTCGACAATATCCTGCTCGTGGTGAGCATCGATAGCATCAGGCACGGTGGTGACATCTTCAAGGTTCAGGTTTGCACTGTGCACCTCTGTCACACCACAATCGTCATCATTATCCACTGCGGTGTCGTCAACATCCATCTCTTCCTCACATGCATCATCATCATCATCATCATCAGCGGCTGCTCCTCCTGCTGCTGCACCGTCCGGTATGTCCACTCCGACATCGGCATTGTCCTCGCTCTCCACGATAATGTCGACTGCAGTGGGCATGTCCACCAGGGAATCATCAACATCTGTATATGAGAGTGTGTGTGTGTGTGTGTGTGTGTGTGTGTGTGTGTGTGCACATTGAACACACAGACACACACAGACACACACACACACACACACACACACACATGCACAAAGCAATGTTATTATACGACAGCAGATGTGGAATAATGGAGGACACGCTGCAAAAAAGATAGTGACCCAGACTACTACCAAGATTTTTTAAATGACCACATCAAAAATACGGTTTGTTAGCACTGCACTCTGTGCTAACTGGCTAACAGTAGCTAGCAGTAACTTACATCTGTAGGCGGACACTCAGTGGTACACGCCAGTCACATACCATCAGCACTGGCTCAATTATATTCTGTAATCTGGATGCTTACAAGTCACAAGTTACTACTGTAGTCCCACACACACACATAGTGTAATGACGGTGATAATCCTAGGCTAGATTACCTGCTGCGTAGGTATTATGATCACACCAGAGCAGTTCAGGACAAGACAAAAGGGGAACTGTTGACTTCAAGATCAAAACTAGAACGTCGAATTAGAACGACAGAGAAGCTCAGCAGCACAACGGAAAAGCATGCGCGGCTGATACAACTTAGAGCAGAGGAGTAGAAAGATAATGATCTATCACGTGAGGTAGCTCACTAGTACGGATATCACATCCCTCCACCATTAGATGAGGAACACATAAGCAATAGTATGAGAAATGAGTTCACTATAATTTGTTGCGGATACGAGAAGCGAGTTCAATGTAACACACTAAGGAACTGCAAATATCAACAGAGAGCTGAATGCAAAACCCAGCAGGTCTGCAGTTACAAGTTCATACGATCAGGGGACTTCCTTGAGCGTGTAGACCTGCGCAGATTAGAGCTAGGAGAATTAACAGAGATAGCAGAAGACTGAGTAGAAGATTCAGCAGAAGGTGCAGCAGATGCAGAAGAGGATAGCGATGTTGATTCCACATCCTGGCGGCTGGCGGCAACCTCTGGCTGTGACGGCTGTGGTGATTCGGCATCTGTATGTGACGGCGGCTGTGCAGTTGCCAAAGTTGAAGTTGATGGCGGTGATGACCGGTCGGATATGCCTGCACTCTCGGGTAGCATTTCTCCTCCCTCGGACGGAAGACGGCGTCTAATGTGATCAGCATGGCGCTTCCATATGCGACCATCCTCCAGACGTACAGTAAACGTGGCTGGACCAAGACATTCTTCCAGCACACCAGGCATCCATTTAGGCGTCGATGTGAAGTTAATCACCCAAACAGCATCACCACAACAGAGATCCGACGCCCGAGCTGTGCGACGGTCAACAGCAGCACCTTGCTTGTTCAAGACACGTGCTGATGTATCTGGAAACGTCAGGTCAAGACGAGAACGTGGCGTGCGGTTCATAAGCAGCTGAAATGGTGACTGGCCTGTTGTTGACTGAGGCGTTAAGCGATAATGAAACAGAAAGCGGTGTAACCGTGACGCTAGGTCTCCACCAGCACCTGACAATTTCTTCAAGCCGGATTTGACTGTTTGAACTGCTCGTTCAGCAAGACCGTTGCTTGCTGGGTGGTAGGGTGAAACCAAGGTATGCTTGATACCGTTACTTGAGCAGAATTGTTGAAACTCCGAGCTGGTGAACACTGAGCCATTATCCGAGACAAGCTGTTGCGGAAGACCATGTGTAGCGAAACACTCACGAAGCTTGCCAATGGTAGCTGTCGACGTAGCAGATGGAACGGCGTGCACGTCGATGTACTTGCTGTGGCTGTCGACGATCACAAGTAGCATCTTGCCTTCCACAGGGCCTGCATAATCAATGTGCAGTCGGGTCCAGGGTTTGCCTGGCCACTCCCAGGGATGCAATGGCTGTAGTGCTGGAGACTTCTGGGTTGCTTGACATGGCTCACAGCTGCGGACCTTGAGTTCAATTTCGGCATCGATCGATGGCCACCAGACGTAGCTGCGGGCGAGCGACTTCATTCTGGTTATGCCGGGATGGCTGAAATGTAACTCTTCCAGTAACTTTTCTCGGCCTTGGGGCGGAATGACAACGCGAGACCCCAACAGTAAGCACCCATCGATGATGGAGAGTTCACTTCGACGACGGTAGTACGCTTGGTAATCACTATGCACGTCGTTAGGCCAGCCTTCCTGGACGTACTTAAGAACTAATGCAAGTACTGGATCACGGCGAGACCATTGCGCAACGCTCGATGATGTCACGGGAGTTCCGTCCAAAACAGTCATTGACAAAACTGTTTCAGCCGGCACGGGAACCTGGAATTCTGGCGTTGGTGCCGGCAGACGACTGAGACCATCAGCGTTTCCATTCGATTTGCCGGGCTTGTACTGTAGCTCATAGTCATAGTTGGCTAACATCAGCGCCCAACGCTGAATACGACCGCTGGCCATAGCAGGAACGGGCCGACACTCGCTGAACAAACCCAGCAGAGGTTTGTGGTCTGTTTGAAGAGTGAATGATTGGCCATACAGGTACTTGTGGAATCGCTTGACAGCGAAAACCATGGCGAGGCCTTCCTTCTCAATCTGTGCGTAGTTTCGTTCTGCTGACGACAGGGTACGCGATGCGAAGATTACCGGATGCTCCTCGCCATTGACAACATGCGACAAAACTGCACCAATGCCATACGGTGAGGCATCACAGCTCACAATAATTGGTAGTTTAGGGTCGTAATGCACACGGACGGGTGAGTCAATGAGCAGCTTCTTGCTACTCTCGAATGCGGACTGTTGACGATGAGACCAGTCCCAACTCTTGGAAGACAATAGTTCATACAACGGAGCAAGTACTGAGCTCAGGTTAGGAATGAACTTGTGGTAGTAGTTGATTAGTCCGAGGTAGCTTCTCAGCTCTTGGACGTCGGTAGGAGCCCTTGCATCAATGACATCTTGCACTTTCTCCTTGGTGGGCTTAATTCCAGATGCATCGATGATGTGACCTAAGAATGTCACAGAGGACCTTGCAAATGAACATTTGGTGCGGTTCAAACGCAATCCAGCTGCGTTGAGACGTTCCAGAACCATGTTCAGATGTTTGTCGTGTTCTTCACGAGTTGTGCCAGAGACAAGGATGTCATCCAAGTAGATCACGACCATTGGTATTCCAGCTAGCAATTGGTCGAGCGTACGTTGAAATATGCTCGGGGCCGAAGACACACCAAAAGGCAGTCGGTTGTACACAAACAGTCCCTTCGTGGTGTTGATGGTGGTAAGAAGTTTAGACTGTTCATCCAGTGGTAATTGGAGATAAGCTTGACTGAGGTCCAGCTTGGTGAAGCAACAGCCATTAGCAAGTTTCACGTACAAATCCTCTATGTTCGGCAATGGGTACTTATCTGTCTTGGCTGCCTGGTTAACAGTGCACTTGTAATCACCACAGATGCGGACTTGGCCATTGCTCTTGAGAACTGGCACAATCGGTGCTGCCCACTCAGCGAATTCGACTGGCTGAATGACATTGTTGTCGACTAGTTTGTCCAGCTCCTTCTCCACGGCAGACTGTAGAGCATAAGGCACAGAGCGAGCTTTCAGGAAGCGAGGTCTAGCATTGCGGTCGACTGCAAGCTTGACACTGCCGTGCTTCCAGGTGCCTAGTCCGGGCTTGAAAACATCAGGATGCTTGCTCAGGAGATCACTGCTCAGATCTCCGGTGACATTGAAGACTCGGTTCCAGTTGAGCTTTAGCGTCTGCAGCGCGTCTCTACCCAACAGATTCGGACCAGAACCCTCGACGACAAACATGGTCAGCTGAGCCGAGTTCTTCGCATGACGGGCATTGCAGATGAGACGACCAATAACTGGTATGATCTTGCCAGCATACGACCTAAGGCTCGGCAGGTCATTCGTCTCCAGACTGGGGAGTTGCTGCTTGGTATCTTTCGACGCCAGTGTCTGGTACTCCGCTTTGTTGATTATTGTTACTGCCGCTCCGGTGTCTATCTCAAACACAACAGGGGTGCCAGTCAGACTCACACTACACATATAAGGATCCACGTTGGAACGCACATGACCAGAGCAACTGGTGTGGTGCAGCTCCGCACTGTATTCCGCCGTCTGGTCAGGTGATGCGAACTCCGGGGCTCTCTGCTCGGAAAACTGATGCACAGCCTTCGACCGGCATACCTTTGCGAAATGATTCGACCTGCTGCAGGACTTGCACGTCTTGCCCCATGCTGGGCAATCCGAGCGGTTGTCGTGCCATTTCCCCCCGCATCCGCTACATTTGCGAACGGCCTTACTGGAAGGACTGGGCTGGTCACGACTTGATGGGTGTCGCCTCTCCACTTTATGGACTTGGGGATGTTCAGGCTTGCTGAAGCTGCTGGCCCCGGCCATGGCTGCCACAGACGACATCGTGACTTCCACTGAACGTGCATAAGTAAGGAGGTCTGCCAACGACATGCTGCTCTCCATGAAAGCCTTTTCACGTACCTTCGACGACACACAGTGCTGTACGACCTGAGACTTTAGCTCTGTGTCCATATCTGCAAATTGACAGTGCTTGCCCAAACGCCTAAGACGAGTTACGTAGCTATCAAGGGTCTCCGACTGAGATTGTTTCTCACGACGGAACAAGTAGACCTCGTATTCCCTGTTGCGCTTCGGACTGAAGTGAGCCGTCAGAGCATCCTTCAAGTCGTCGTAACTTGTAATGCTACTGCTGTCAAAGGTGAGGTAGACGTCAAACACGTCCTCACCGCCACCGTGCAAGAGCTGGGCTCTCTGCCGCTCGTCTTCCGTGATGTTTGCTGCAATCAAATAATTATCGAAACGAGCCAGCCATTTCTCCCAACGAGGGCCAACCGACTCAGGCGGTTCCAGATCAAACGGGTTCAATGATTTTACTGTGCTCATCGTGGCAGCTGAATCAAGGACTTCGTCGCCAAATATTATGATCACACCAGAGCAGTTCAGGACAAGACAAAAGGGGAACTGTTGACTTCAAGATCAAAACTAGAACGTCGAATTAGAACGACAGAGAAGCTCAGCAGCACAACGGAAAAGCATGCGCGGCTGATACAACTTAGAGCAGAGGAGTAGAAAGATAATGATCTATCACGTGAGGTAGCTCACTAGTACGGATATCACAGTAGGACTGCGTAGGACTCAGCAGCAATTCTCTCTGCATACATGTTGCTGTTAGTAGTTGTGTTTACAATTCTACATGTTTAACGAGAGAGCTTGAAAGCTCAGGGCCCTCGCTATGCTTTTTTTTGCCTAGGTCATCATGCATGTTATTCGAACTGATGGAAACGTTTTTGCAATACAATGATGTAGCCGATGATTATGTTGCAAAAAAACGTTTCCATCAGTTCGAATAACATGCATGATTGATGACCAACTAGGCAAAAAAAGCATTGCGAG